ATATATATATATATATATATATATATATATATATATATATATATATATATATATATATATATATATATATATATATATATATATATATATATATATATATATATATATATATATATATATATATATATATATATATATATATATATATATATATATATAAATATAATTAAGCTAAGTAGTGTAATTAAATTAATCCCTGTTCTGTTCTTGAATATAATTGACCGATTGATTGATGATATATTATTATTATTATTATTATTATTATTATTATTATTATTATTATTATTGCAGGTGAGGATCTGGTACCACAACCCAAACCGCCGGATCGAAATATACTACGACAAGCTAAAGGTGTACGCCGCCTACTATGACCGCCAGGTCACCCAAAGCGCGGACATCCCGCCAATATACCAGGGGGACAATGACACGAACGTCTTGTCCCCCACTCTTTTGGGGAACAACAGCATCCTTAGCTACTACGTCGTCCCCAACCTCCTCAGGGACCAGGACGACGGCGCCTTCTGGATCGCCGTCAAGATCGACGGCAGGGTCATGTTTCGGGTCGGGGACTTCGTATCCGAGCCTTTCCATCTCCACGTCTCCTGTCCCGCTCACATTCCCTTCTTCCCCAACTCCTCCCGGGGTAGCGGGTTTGTGGTGGGCCCAAAGGCCGCCGCCAAGTACCCGCTCTCCCGCACCTGTGCCGTTAGCGTCCCAACAATTATACGGAGAATACTTCAAATTATAAAGGAGTGAATAACCATATATACGGAGTATCAATTAACAACTAGCTAGACTCACGATCGAGTACTATAAGTTTTTTTTAAAAAAAAAATCATAGCTTCCCTCTTTATATTTAATTTTCACGTGTTTAATTATTATTATTACTCCTTCCGTCATGATCTTCCCGGTTCGCAAAACGAAGAAAAATCCTAAGTTTTTTTTAATCTATTTTATTTAAATATTGGTATAGAAATAAAAAATAAAACATACATATTTAAAAACTACACCAAAAGTTCAACAAAACAAGTGGTGACAAGAATATTTTACTTTATCATCTAGGCCATGAAAAAACACAAATAAATATAAATTTCCGTGAAGTTGGAATAGTGCTCTGGGAAGATCATTATAGGACGGAGGGTGTATTATTCAGTTACCCTTTCTCTTCTTGTTGCTGTATTAATTTTTTTTTTAATCTCGGTGTCCTTTTTTTTGTTACAATAGTGTGGTCCATAAATGCATTCTTTTTGCGAAATATGTGTCATTGGCATGTAGTAACTAAATAAGGAACATGCAAAAAAAAGTGGGACAAACAAAAACGCTAAAAATTTAAAAAACAGTGGCACCATTCCTTTTATGTACAGTAATAAAGAGTACTCTCCTATTTAAAAAATTAGTGATACATTTATCTTTAAGCATCTTAGAAAAAACTTCTATCTCATCTAATATATCTCAAATATACTCCGTTCTTTCGTCTTAAAGTTTCTTCCTTGTTCGATTCACGAGCTTTGACTAAAATTATTTAAGATGGACGAAAACACAAAGTACATATTTTAGCAACATGATGCATGACAAACAAGAGCTACAACTATACCTCAATTCAAAATTGTTAGAAAACTACAAAATCTAAGACATACCGAGTTTTTGTTTCATTGTTTGTCAGAAAAATATAATGCCAAAGAGACAAAAGGCAAACTAGTCTTTATGAAGAAGAAGAAAAAGCATAGAAGCAAAGCAGGAGATGTAAAACCACAAAGCATACAAAGTATTACCCCGTTCAAAAATAAATTTTCTGTTCATTATTTATATCGTCAAACTTTATTCACTTTTTTAATCTATTTGCTTTAATTACATTTTTTATTTACTTTCGCATAAAATACCATAGTCATGTCATTTTTTATTTTATAGAGTTTTTAGTGTAAGTTTTAAGTATATACTCCTTCCGTCCCATAAAACATTTCATGTTTCAAAAAAGGCGCGCCCTTAAAATGAGTAATTTTGGTGTTATTTTCTAATTTTGCCCTTACTTTATAAAAGAGTAGGATGAGATGTGTAGAATAGATTAGTCATAATTAAAAAAATAACACTAAAATTACTCATTTTAAAGACGTGCCATTTTTGAAACAAGAAATGTTTTATGGGACGGAGGGAGTATAATTTTTTTAACTTTTTCACTTATATATAATAAAATAAAATAATTGACAAGAATATCACTCAAATCTCAAACGGGGAGATGAAGAGAGTAATTAAGTTTGATGTCAACATTGATGCTTGTGGATTACTATATAATTAATGTAAAGATTAGGGTAATTTTTATTGGGGCTTCGTTATTGGGAGATGGACTAATGGTTAGAGTGCAATTGTGGTCCTTGTGGATTTTAACTCCTGATAAACCCTCCATCCTGGCCCGGTCCAAACCCACCCCAACCCCTCCTCTCCAAACTCCTTCAATTTTGTTCCCCAAATCTATTTGACTTTGGGATCCAAATTTTTGACCCAAAAGTGAAATAAATTAGGGAAATAATATTAAGAGAGTTGGTGTGGATTTGGGTTGAACCAGCTGAGAGATTTTTTGGGGGATTAAGGAGGATAGAAACCATTAATTTTATGGTTTTTTGCTATACATTTCAATTCCACACTAAAGATTTTTAAACAAGACCTAAAAAAAGAAATTGTTTCCCACGGTATACAATGCATGAAGTAAAATGCTAAATGCATGAGCATTTTTTTTCCAAAAACAATTCATGAAAATGAACAAAAAAAAATGTCCATCTTATGTGCATACTGCATCGGCTTATCATATTATGCATGTGTATATTATATTGAGATTCCGTACAAATTAGTGGAGCACATCAGCACATGTGAAGCATCTTTAATGCTGCGGTCCAACTAATTAATTCCGGAATTAGCTAATAGCCAAACGCAAATCCCTACAAAACAATAAACTTATGTTTACACTGATACTGCAATCCCCATTACTTTGATGTTGACCATGTGTTTACCTAACGGTAAATATAGCTGAAAACTGTGTAAATTCTCTAAACACCAAATGCAAGGAAAAAAAATGTTTTTTATACATATTCGTATATTATCTATACATTGTACTGGTGCATTACACACAAGAATGTTCTGATCTTGAGTGGCCCCATAGATTTAGACAAGGCATGAGGAATCCAACGTCTCTTCTCGTGTTCTTGTGTTTAATATAACCAATTTCCGATATTCAAGTGTTCCATTTAGCTAGAGACCGAGTGCGATACACACATTATATTCTTATCATGATGTGGCGTAAGTAGATAAAGGCCCCGTTTGGCATCAGCGTTAGAGATTAGCGTTAGCGTTTTGAAAAAGCTATCCGACGGTAGCCTTTAGCGTTTTCGGAATTAATCTGCACCATTAAAATTTTATCCAAAACGCTAACGCTAATCGAAAACGCTATTACCAAACAAAGCCAAAATGTCTGAGTTCATATATGGCGTGAGTAGATAAAATGTGGAGTATGTCCGTAGGCAAAGGCCGAGTGTGACCCAACAAATGGAAGACTAGCTTTGGCCTACCCGTGCTCTACAGAGCGTGTTTCGCCTGGCCGAGTGGGCCTGCCAAATTGATTGAGCCAGACCCAGTCTAGGGTATCCATCACATATTCTTAAAATATTACATACTCCCTCCGTCCCACTGTCTTTGTTCACTTACATTTTGGCACATCATCCAATGCACTTCTTTAATCCATTTTATCTTGTAATTTGTATATTAAAAAATTATAGAAATTATATATTAATAATCTATATGTTAAGACAAATCAAACAAGATCACACATGACTATATTTAGGCTTACACATTGAGAGAATTTGATGAGTCAAAGTGCTTAGATGAACAGTTCCAAAAGTCAAAAGTGGACAAAGACAGTGGGACGGAGGTAGTAGTATTTTCATCTTTAAAATATCAATTACTTTCTTTGTCCTANACTCCCTCCGTCCCACTGTCTTTGTTCACTTACATTTTGGCACATCATCCAATGCACTTCTTTAATCCATTTTATCTTGTAATTTGTATATTAAAAAATTATAGAAATTATATATTAATAATCTATATGTTAAGACAAATCAAACAAGATCACACATGACTATATTTAGGCTTACACATTGAGAGAATTTGATGAGTCAAAGTGCTTAGATGAACAGTTCCAAAAGTCAAAAGTGGACAAAGACAGTGGGACGGAGGTAGTAGTATTTTCATCTTTAAAATATCAATTACTTTCTTTGTCCTAAAATATTCTTTCTATTTTTATTTACGAAGTTTGATTGATTTTATTTTTAGTTCAATTTATATGATTATAGGTATAAAATTTAAAAAATAAAATTTTTATATTTGAAAATTACATAAAAAATTCTACAAAACAAGAGGTGTAAACACTATATTATTTTATCAAATAACTAAAAAAAATAAGTAAAGAAAGTAATTAAAGTTTGACCGTGTGAATAGTAATTGGGAAGATCGTTTTAGGAAGCAAGGAGTATAATAAGGTACTATTAAATGAGTTGTCTCTCTTTTTTTCTGGGGCGTTAAGGATATAATTGAATAGTCCAATTACAAAAATAAAGGATGTATATAAGAACATATTATCTAGTTTTTTTTGGAAACATGAGTGTTTGTTAGACACTCATTTTTAATTCCCTATTTAATAAAAAATACCTAATAATGAAATACTCCCTCCGTTTGCAAAAAGACTTCCTATTTTGATTTGGGGCAAAAATAAGAAAGTGTTAAATTATTGTTGATTCCAATTTTGCCCCTGATGTGATGGATAGATTATTAGAGAAAAAAATATGATGTGATAGGTAGGGTATGAAAAAGTAAGGGTAAAAGTGGTTTTTTAATAGAAAGGGGAAGTGTTTTGTTGGAAGTTGAAAAAATGGAAGAGGAAGTGTTTTTTAGAACGGATGGAGTATTAAATATTATTCCATCTGTCTCAAAAACTCTTTCTAAGCTCCTTTCTTTTTTACTTGTCCCACAAAATCTTTCCGATTTTATTAAAAAACTACTTTTTACCCCTACCAATTTTTTAAGGAAAATGAAAAAAATAAAAGATGAACTGTTTTAAGAAACGGAGAAAATATTACTTATTTTTAAATTAATCGGATCGTTTACTTTAGGATTAACCGGTTGGACAGGTTAACACTTGATCATCCGTCTCAAAAACTCTTTCTCGGCCCCTTTCTCTTTTACTTGTCTGAGAAAGCTTTCTGATTCTATTAAAAAACTACTTTTACTCTTACTAATTCTTAACATATCTATCATATCACATTTTACTTTTGCGCATTACGTCAAGGGTATTTTTAGAAAATCAACACAAAAATATCACTCCTTAAATTTTCTAAAAATAAAAACGGAAGTGTTTTAAAGAAAACGAAAAAAATAAAAGATGAACTGTTTTAAAAAACGGAGGAAGTATTACTTATTTTTAAATTAATCGGATCGTTTACTCTAGGATTAACCGGTTCGACCGGTTAACACTTGACCATGTCTAGTCCGGGTGGAGGTTGTGCGGGAGAACATATTGTTGTACATATATTGTTGAGCAATGCTAGGGGTACACCAAAGGTGTACCCCATTTGTCCTCCACTCTTTCTCTACCACTCATTTTTACCCCATTTTTATTTATTTAATTTTTTATTACTCTCTTGCCCATTTTTAAAATCATCAAAGTGGAGGCAAATGGGTTACACCTTTGGTGTACCCTAGCATTTTTCTATATTGTTAACTGCGGTGATACTCCGTTATTCATTCCTTTATAATTTGAAGTATTCTCATGAGTAAATTGGGACGCTAACGGCACAGGTGCAGCCGAGCTGATACTTGGCGGCGGCGGCGGCCTTTGGGCAATCCGCCATCCCAGGAGGAGTTGGGAAAGAAGGGAATGTAAGTGGGACAGGAGACGTGGAGATGGCAAGGCTCGGACCCAAAACAAGACCCTGTCGTCGATCTTGACGGCGATCGAGAGGGTGCCATCGTCCTGGTCCGGAAGGAGGTGGGGGATGGTGTAGTTGCTGAGGAGGTTGTTGTTCCCGAAAAGAGTGGGGGGGACAAGACATTTGTGTCATTGTGACCCTGGTATAACGGCGGGACAGTCGTAGTGGGTGGCGTAGACCCGGCCTGAGCTTGTCGTAGTATATTTCTATGCGGCGGTTTGGGTTGTGGTACCAGATCCTCAACTTGGTCCGGCCGCTCTGCGGATCCCTCTGCACCATGATTATCCTCTTTGTGTAATCCCTGTTCTTGAATTCAAGGGATGATAATTAGAGTATTTTTTTTGGGAATTGACAGATTGATTGATGATATATTATTGCAGGTGAGGATATGGTAGATCATGGTGCAGAGGGATCCGCAGAGCGGCCGGATCAAGTTGAGGATCTGGTACCACAACCCAAACCGCCGAATAGAATTTTACTACCACAAGCTCAATAAGGTCTACGCCACCTACACCCAGTGCCGACTTCGCGCCGTTATACCAGGGTCACAATGACACAAACGCCTTGTCCCCCCACTCTTTTCGGGAACAACAACCTCCTCAGCAGCTACACCACCAGCCCCCCACCTCCTTCCGGACCAGGACGACGGCGCCCTCTCCATCGCCGTCAAGATCGACGGCAGGGTCTTGTTTCTGGTCCGAGCCTTACCATCTCCACGTCTCCTGTCTCACTTACATTCCCTCCTTCCCCAACTCCTCCCGGGACAGCGGATTGCCCAAATGCCGCCGCCGCTGCCGCCGTCAAGTACCAGCTCTGCCGCACCTGTGCCCTTAGCGTCCCAATCTTCACGTGATTTATTTTTCCCCTAACATGTTCTCATTTTGACGCTGGTTTTTAATGAGAGTTGAAAAAAGGTAAAAGTTTACCATAATACCCTTAATGAAAAATGGGTGGAGTGTATTAAATGAGGTGGGTGAGGTGTAATAAATAAAGTAAGTGAGGGTAGTGGTATATTAATTGTTAAAAAATGAAATGAGAAGATCTATTGTGGACAAAGAAAAAGGGCTATTGAGAAGATCTATGAGGGACGGAGGGAGTACTAAAACATAATTACTTTTTCTAAATAGCACTACATATGTTTTTTTTACCAATGTAGCAATTTCAGTCATTATCCATTACTCATTATTCAAGTAAATATTCGCCACCACTGGTCATTATGGACATTATTAAGTGCTACTTAGGGAATAAAAACAATTTAAGTGCTATTTAAAGAAATGTCTTAAGTTTTAATGCTATTTAGTTCAAATAGTTATTATTATTATTATTATTATTCAATTACCCTTTTCTCTCCTCCTTTTTCGCTGTAGTAATTTTTTTTTAATCTCGGTGTCCCTATCTTTTGATACAACTGTGTGGTCCATAAATGCATTGTTTTTGCCGATATGTGTGTCGTGTCATATGTCATTGGCATGTAGTAGCTAAATAAGGAACGTGCAAAAAAAACTGGGACAAACAAAATCGCTAAAAATTTTAAAAAATAGTGGCACCATCCTACTCTATATAAAAAGAAAAGAAAATGGTATATGTTCTTTCCCGCCTTTTGTTTGGCATGTCTAGACAAAACAACGTACAATGCAATAATGAAACTCAATTATGGACTTTCCATCCCATTATTATAAACACCTTGGTTCCCATGACATTGGGAACCAGCATTCATTTTCAGTATTTCCCTCATTCAACTTTTTAATATTTTGTTTAGTTTTCTATCAATCATATTTCCCTACCATTCATCTACACTTCATTTCTTTACATAGGATTCAATATCAATCCTTCACAAATTTATTTCTTTACCCCATTTCACCATAAATTCGTACCATGGCAATTCCTATTTCTGCTGCTTCTCCATGGGCTGAATTGAATCAAGTTCACCCAAAAAAGATAGATTGGAATTTACAACTCCGTGCAATACGAGTGTATCACGTTCCACCAAGTGAACGCTTTGGAGAGTCTTTGGAAATAATTTTTGAAGATCGAAAGGTATTCTTCATTTTTTGTGACACCTATAAATATTAAAGTTATTATAGTATATAACAATTTCGTGTGTGTGTGTTTATCTAAATTTGTTGCAGGGGGACAGAATACAATCAACTATAAAACCTCCATATATCAAGAAATTTCTTTCAAAATTTAAAGAAGGAAATGTGTATGCAATCATAAATGTGACTGTGCTTGAAAATCATCGCCAGTCCTACAAAACGACCAATCATCCTTACATTTTAAGTATGAGCGGAAAGACAGAACATAGGGATATGACGGCTCTACCATTTCCAAAATTTCCCATGAAATTTACACCATTTCAAGCTCTACACAATTTGGGAGCTAATGACGACAAGATGCTCAAGGGTATTTTTTTCGCTACTTTGTTTAATTAATGAATGAAAATCATATTTTTTTTATATAATATGCATTCATTTTTCATGGCAGATGTCATGGGTAGAGTTGTTTCCATATTAAAAAATCAAGAGTGTATGGTTAATGGACACCCAGAAAGGCTTTTGGAACTAAGACTTGAAGAACCAGAGTACATAAATCTATAAATTACGCCAATTTAATTTTTTTGTGGTCAAATTTATGTTATGTCCAATCTACTAATTTGAGATTATTTATTACAAAATTGTGTGAGGATTCAGAGGAACTTAGATGTCATGCTCTCTTTGGGGTCAATATGCCACACAATTCAACGACTATTTGAGCAATGCAATGGAAGATGCTAACGGAAACCCAAATTTTGTCACTTTGCATTTCTGCAGAACTAAGTTTTACAACGGTAATTTAATTCATATTGGAAATACACCATGTCTTAATTACTAATGGAGAGAGCAAATTTCAATCCAAAATATTTTAATATTTAATTGCAGGAGTAACAATCAGTTCCTCTTTCCATGTCACAAAACTAATCATTAATGGCACCTCAGATGAAGAAAAATAGTTTCAAAGAAGGTAAATACCAACATTTTCAAATATATTCTAATAAAATTTTAAACTTTCTAAAATATTTTTGTTCCAAATTTAGATTTAATAATGAAGAGGACGTACGATCGGGGGTCTTTAAATACACTCTCTCTGACTCAGCAAAGCAGTGGCAATGACCACATAAGAAACGGTGATATAAAGATTGCAGAAATTCATGACCTACTAATGGAGACAAAAGTATGTTGTTAAAGTTAATTGTGATACTCTACCATGCATATTTCTCTAAAGTCTAATTGTATACACTTTGCATGCAGGGAGGATATAATGGGGGATGTTTGCTCCATTGAGAGTAGTCATGATTGGGCTTACCTTGGATGCACCACATGCAATGCCAAATTGGTTCCTGAAGCTATTAGGTTTAAATGCAGTAAATGCAATATGTCACTTTCAACTGGTGCCTACAGGTGATTAATTCGATGGTTTGCACAAATATTTCGATGGTTTACACCAACACAAGTGTTGGTGCGTTAATAAAAATTCACACGGACACAAATGTTGGTGCGTTTAACAAAAATTAGTTTTACACCAACACAAAATGTTGGTGCAAAACTGCGGGGTACAAATTGGAGTACAAATCTTGGGGTACACATAGCAAAACTGCGGGGTACACCTTGTTGGTGCGTTTTTTATTTTACAATACTTTTTGGTGATATGTTCATCACTCTGTACTAAAATTAATTTTCGAGCTTGACTTTTATAATCACCTTTTTAAACTTTAATCACATATTTCGAAAAAAATACCATAAACTTTTGTGCATATAAATTTTTTATTAATAAATTCTTTTTGAAACATAGTTTTGAAATATATATATTTTTATAATATATATTTATATAAAAATAAAAATATTAATGGTAAAAAAGTTGCATTTGAGATAGTGAAAAACTAAGGGAAAAAACTAAAGTAAAAGTAAAACATTGAAAAATATGAAAATATGAGTTGTATGTTTTTATTCTCAAAATGGGTTAAAATACATGTAAATTACGTAAAATGCACATGTACAATGTCATATTACCACAATGCGAACTTCTATTTAGGAAATAAAAAAATGAAACTGTTTATTTCATACTTTTTAATTTCTTAAAAATCAAACGATAAATTAATACTCCCTCCGTCCCTAAATAAACTTCTTTTTTTGACTTTTCGAAGATTTAAGGGAGGGATATTTTTGTGTTGACTTCCCAAAAATACCATTGATGTGATATGTAGATTATTAGTAAAAAGGTATTATGTGATAGGTAGAGTATGAAAAAGTAATTAATAAAATAGGTATTTTAAGGCAAAAAAAAGTTTATTTTGAGTTAAAGAAAAAATAAAAGATTGAAGTTTATTTGGGGACGGGAGGGGAAGTATTAGAAGAGAGGGTATATGGTTTAACATTTTAACTAACAATTTGTATAATTTCAAATCCATCCGGACTCTTACATTCCTGATTGATCGATCTGTTTCCTGATTGATCGATCTGTTTCGGTTGATTACCAGGAGAAGAGGAAGAGCAGGGTGACGACAGAGAAATGGACGAAGAGTATGATGTGATCGTACTCGGTACTGGTCTCAAGGAATGCATCCTCAGCGGCCTTCTCTCCGTCGATGGCCTAAAGGTTTTGTTCTTCATTATATCAAACTCTTCTTTCTTCTCGCAAGAGATTTCCATGTTTCCTATCCGGATAATTGGATTCTGGGATGTTTAGATCGGATGTTATTTCACTCTCTGTTTGGTTTTATAATTATCCGTAGATCTTCAGTTGGTCGTTATTCGCTGCTAGTTTTCAAGTTTCTATTTGCTCCGTATTACCTATAGAATTTGGAGGGGCGATCCTGATGATTTTAAAAAACAGTTAGATTTTGATATGATCCGGATGCCTCTTGATTAGAGAGCGCTGGAGTATTATTTCCAGCTTGGTGATTACGGAGGAGCTGCTGTGATTTGATTGATCTAATGAGACCTGTATAGTTCTTTTTTACGATGTTTCCTTCAGTGTCTTCTCATGTTCTTACTTCTTAAGAAACCAAAATTTAGACCATTTTCTTTCATGCATTTCATGGCATGGATTTGAGAAGAGTGAATGAGTCTACCTAACTAATGGTTACCTGTTAGAAATTTTGCAGCTCCCCACTTTTAACCTTTCGGATTACATTGATTGGTGTTTATATTTCTGTCATTCTAGAAATGAAAACTAATGTTATTAAATGTATAATTTGGCTATCTGATAATATTTGCAATTCAAGTTACTTTTTGTATCATGTGTTCGCATTTTCACCAGTCATTACACACGTAAAATAGGTTCTACATATGGACAGAAATGACTATTATGGAGGAGAATCAACTTCGCTAAACCTTGTTCAGGTATGTATGTCTTTATCATCACATAAAGGCTAAATCCAACGAAATGGTGTGCTTACTTCATTTTTTTGTTTTTCAAATAATTTCCAGCTTCCACTAATCCACTGTCTGGAATGCAAGTCTGTTTTTACTTCCTTTTTTTGTTTTTTACTTTTCATCTATGTTTCCCAAAAGTGCTTTTTAATGTTCATTTTTTTTCAAGTTTTTTCTCCAGCTTCAATGTTCCTTGAAAATTGCAAAATGTGCTGATGCTCAACTTTTTTTTACTACTTCATTTAAAATGCAAAGCTTTAAACAAATACAGATACTGGTGCCTGTTGGTGAAGATATGGTTATGGTGTGGTGTTATGTTTTCTTGTTTAGTAATTTGGGAATCAGAATAATCTTAGTTTGCAAATTCTATTGATTATTTGGATAAACAAGAAAGCTGGAGATTTGTTCACATTCTGATTTCTGCTTTTGAAAAAGGTAACATGCTTTTTACTCTTTAGTTAGAAATCATTATTTTGACTATGTTTTCTGTCATTTTCATCTTCTGTTAGGAATTTTTATTCCAGCAAAGTGTGCATGCCTTTGGCAAACACATATTAAAATGGCTTGCATATTGTTTTGAAGTATTCAAATCATTAAATGTTACTCCGTATATGGTTTTGATATTTTCATTTCTAGCTTTGGAAGAGATTTAGAGGAAGTGACACGCCTCCTGCCACGTTGGGATCTTTTAGGGACTACAATGTTGACATGATTCCCAAGGTTTCATTTCAGCCCTTCAGTATTTTAGTCAAACTCTTTTGTGATATAGCTAGTGAGCTCGTCTGCATGGCAGTCCCATTTCCCCATGCCATGCATATGTACCCAGCGACACCACTATTTTATCTTTGCAGTTTATTATGGCAAATGGTGTTCTTGTACGGGTTCTTATTCATACTGATGTTACAAAATATCTTAGCTTCAAAGCAGTTGATGGAAGCTTTGTCTATAACAAGGGAAAGGTAAAAAATGTTCTTCGTAATGTTAAAGTCATTATTAAATTTTGGTTTTTTTATTTCGTCCTGAGTAGGTGCTTGATAAAATTGGCTCAACAGGTTCACAAGGTTCCAGCTACTGATATGGAGGCCCTAAAGTCTCCACTCATGGGCTTGTTTGAGAAGCGTCGTGCAAGAAAGTTCTTTATATATGTCCAGGATTATAATGAGAGTGATCCTAAAACACATGATGGGATGGATCTTACAAAGGTCACAAGTAAAGAGCTTATTGGGTACACCCTCACCTCCCATAGTCACTCTCTCATCCTCATTGTTGTATCGATATACTCGTATGCTTTTAACTTGGGAAGAATTAATAACCGAGGACGGCTAGTCAGTTCCAAAGTGTAACAAGGGAATGCATCATTTTGACATAATGCTTTTTTCTTTATTTCATGTTAAATCAATAGAATATTTGCGAGCCTTCAAACATTTTTAGTTACAATATTTTAATTTTTATGACAGAAAATTTGGCCTTGATGCCAACACAGTGGACTTCATTGGGCATGCCTTGGCTCTACACAGAGATGATCACTACTTGAGCGAACCTGCACTAGATACTGTGAAGAGAATAAAGGTAAATGTGTCTTTCTAAGTGTTTAATCTTGTAACATTTTTCAAAGTTCTGACTGATTTTGATGAAATTTTTTGTCTGACAACTTTTGTGATCGTGTGATAGTTATATTCAGAGTCCCTTGCACGTTTTCAAGGTGGATCGCCTTATATTTATCCTTTGTATGGTTTGGGAGAGTTACCCCAGGTTTGTCTATGCTGTTGATATAAAATCATGTTCTTATCTTTGTTCTACTGTAATGTTCCTTTATCTATTCAACTGTTTCCCTCATTATTGTTTGCATATTTTTAAGATTGTGTTTGTCTTTTGCATGACTGATGGATAATAGAGAGACTTGTTTCTTCTATTTAGGCATTTGCCCGGCTAAGTGCTGTGTATGGGGGTACCTATATGTTGAATAAACCTGAATGCAAGGTGAACTTTTTTTATTTGTTGTAGATTGTATATTACAAATAACAAATGGTGACAGTCTTCATTTGCAATGTGGTGGTATGCTGACATGGCGACTGCTATGGTTCTAGGTAGAGTTTGACGAGGAAGGCAAGGTAGTGGGTGTAACATCAGAAGGAGAAACTGCCAAGTGCAAGAAAGTCGTATGCGATGCTTCATATTTGCCCGGAAAGGTAGACTTCTTTTCTGTCTATTGTGACTAGTATTGATGATCTATATTTAAAGCGCTTCTTTGAATAACATCAAATCTGAGGCTTCCTGAAATAGAGCCCATTTCATGGGCTGAAAAGCATTATGCTCTTTTCAGTGCTCAACCCACACTATACTTTTTTGTTGTATATTAAATTACTTTGAGCCAAACTATACTGGTTTAAGCATTGACATCTAGAAGTAGTAGTATTTCTTGTTCAATGTATTTGTAATTTTAGCATGTGATATATCAAAGAAGAAAATCTAACACGAAGCCATGACCTACAATAGGTTAGAAAGGTAGGCAAGGTTGCAAGAGCAATTGCGATAATGAGCCATCCAATTCCAAATACCAATGATTCACACTCAGTACAGATTATTTTGCCTCAGAAGCAGCTCGGTCGCAAATCAGACATGTAAGTTCTCACAAATTGGATCCCATTTTATAAACGCCATCATGATTCATTTTATAAACACCATCATGATTCATTAAATCCCTTTTTATAAGCACCATCATGATTCATTGTGGTGTTCATCAGTTCATGTAATGTTTCTTACGGAGTATTATAAAAGTTCTGAAAGTGGTAGATTAGGCGAGCAGATGAATGGGGTATAGTGTCTACTATGGGTGAAGGGGAGCTTTAACACAGGCGTCTAGGCAGGGTTTACAGTTTTTACTAAAAGAGTTCTATAGAATTGAATAGCTAGCTTGTTTTTAGCATGTACAGGTTGCGTATTGAGTATGTACCAGTGCTATACTATGTTAAACCATATCAAACAAGTAAAAGCATTCAAATCAATATATACGGCCTTGTTTATTCCTAACTGACTGTCTTGTATGTTGGAATTCAGGTCTTACTTTGAGGTGTTGTAATTTTGCATTATATTGTTCAGCCTTACTCTTGCATTTAAGAACTAAAACAAGCTACACCTGAACCTTTTGGTCTGCAGGTATTTATTCTGCTGTTCCTACACCCACAATGTTGCTCCAAAGGGCAAATTTATTGCATTTGTCTCTACAGAAGCAGAAACTGATAACCCCGATACTGAATTGAAGCCAGGAATTGATCTTCTTGGGCCTGTGGACGAGATATTTTTTGAGACTTATGACAGATTTGAACCAGTCAATGAACCATCTGCGGACAACTGTTTCATTTCAACAGTGAGTCTGTTATTGTGCTTTTGGGATTTGTCGAATTCAAACTTTTAGTTTTATGCATGGATTTACCTTTTTCTCATTTTCACAAACAGAGCTACGATGCTACGACACACTTTGAGTCAACAGTAGATGATGTGCTGAAGATGTATACCTTGATAACTGGAAAGGTATTGATTACATTTTTCCAACTAAAGAGTTAATCCATATTGTTGTACTATAGACCTATAGTTTTTGCTCTGATGTGCAATGGTAATGAAGGGGGAGTAGATTTAATTCTCATGGTTCAAATATACCTTTAACCTCTTCCTCTTTGGTTTTGACTTTGTTGCGTGACAATTGCTTAGGGTGGCTGCTACCCCAATTTCAAAGCAATGTTAGTTGAATGGATTAAAAAGGGTTAAGAAAAAGTTATCCAAAGTCTACTTTCATTTTGAAATTTAAAATTTTTTGGGGATCCAAGAGGAAAGTTGTTTCAAGACCTATTTGGCTACCAACTATTTGCGGGTAGCTGTTCGAAATAGCTTGAAAAACAAGCTTTTGCAAAAACCAAGCTTGAAAAACAGCTGCTCGAACAGGTTGAAATTACAAAGCTTTTTGTAAACCAACTTTTTGAGACCAAAAAGTTTAGCTTAAACATGCCTTTCTCTCCAACCACCTTCTTAAATAAATCCAAACAATCTTGCAAATTTATCTAGGGGTGCAAGTGACTACTCATAAAAAGTGACTATATATACCATGCTAGGGCACCCCACTACTCACCCCACCTTCTCACATACATCCATGGACACCCATTACTATTTAATGTTTGTGAAAAGATTGTGGTCAAAGGTGAGGTGAGTGTTGGGATGAGTTTAGCATTTTCCAAATGAAAAATCCCACACAGGGTTGATAATAGTGAATATGTTTGTGATACTGTGATGCAGGCTCTTGACCTTAATGTGGATCTTAGTGCTGCCAGTGCTGCGGAAGAGTGAGCCACAACGTCGTTTCTTGTCTGATCAACCGCCCTCCATGTTTACCAGCCAGTAACATTTTCTTTACCGGTTCGGTGTACGCAGTATAACTTTTACCGCAAACTCTTCTTTTGTCTTTTATGATGTTATGCAATTCAACAGAGGATTATGTTTGTGATGATGGATTTCCCAGGGGGCTAATCTGGGATTAAAATCTATCACACGTTGCATGGAAAGCTTTTTGTAACACACCTCAATAGTAGGATCAATAAGAATGGTTCTGGTTTTGACCAAAGAATTGGACGTACTCCCTCTATATCATTTCCCAAAGAACACACACAAAAGAACATTACTCATTTTTTCTCTCTCTAAAGAACACCCAAAAAACTTTGCTAATAAAAATGAAGTTCCCGAGCGAGGCTTTTGTCACTAGAGAAGAAGGGTAGTCTTTTGGGTTCAATACTTAAATAGAAGCAAAATATTGAAATATGTAAATGAGATGAAACATTGGCCCAAAAGAAATTTGGTGTTGGTCGTCATTGTGAATCGCTGTGGTATTTTAGTGACATTGCCCGTCATTGGATGATCCAAGAGTCCTAAAGTGTCACGTTTACAAAATTGATTATTCCTACCTTTTCTAACCTCGTGGTAGACCCTCCTCTCTCCCCACACACCGTCTCGACCCGCAGATGCAATTGAAGAGAGTAGGGGTTGGATTTGGGTCGGGGCGGATGGGAGTTTGCCAGGAGGATTAAGAGGGGTACAGATCAGTAATTTTACGAACGGGACACCGTAGGACCGTCAGGTCATCGCACGACATTGCTGGGCAATGTTACATGAACTGCCCCCACATAGTGTTAGTTGTTGACACGATGTATAACTTATCATCATACGAAGTACTCCATCTGCCCCAAATTAAATTTTGTATTTATTATTTACAGGGTTGAACATTACTAACTTTGTTTTCTTATTTTCATTAGTTATTTGATAAATTAATATAGTCATGTCACTACTTTTTTTTGAATGATTTGTAAAATAGTTTTAGTCAAATATCATAAACTGAAATAGATCATTCAAATTGGACGAATGGAGTAATTAACAATTTATTATGATTGATGACATTATTATTCTTATTTAGATACAGAGTATAATTAAAAAAAAGATACTTTGTCCACATTCACTTCTATTAAATTAAATATCTGAGAACTTGCTTGTAATAGGACAAAGTGTACTCTTTACCTCAAATTAAATTGTTTGTTTTATTATTTGCGGCGTCATACTAATATGATGAAATAATAAAGTCATGTCAATTCTTGTTTGGTAAAATTTTTATGTAATTTTTAATTAACTTCAAATCTTAAAACGGTGAGACGAAATAACTAGCTTAAAAATAAGTAGATAAAATGTATTTATTTTTTAGATTATAAGCAGCTTATAAGTATAGAAAAACATGTCATCAGCTGACTTATAAGTTAAAAAAATCAGCCTAAAAAGAAGTAAAACATAAAGAAAGTACAGGAGTTACATGTTTTTATCCTTAAAATTGAAATTTGCACTTTTGTAATGTGCCACTGTATATGAACATTTTTCAATACTTTTTGATAATATATATGTTCATGATTGAGACTGCATATATATACATTTTAACTCTTATTTTAAGAATAAAAAATGAAACTTTTATTTTGATATATTTTCAATATTTTTGCTTCTAATTTAGTCTTTTTCTCTAAAATATACTCCCTCCGTCCCACTGTATTTGTCCACTTTCATTTTTGCACACCATCCAATGCACTTCTTTAATCTATTTTATCTTGTAATTTGTATATTAAAAAATTATAAAAACTATATATTAATAATCTATATGTTAAGACAAATCAAACAAGATCACACATGACTATATTTAGGCTTACACATTGAGAGAATTTGATGAGTCAAAGTGCTTAGATGAATAGTTCCAAAAGTCAAATGTGGACAAATACAGGGGAACGGAAAGAGTAAATAGCTTATAAACATTTTTGATGAGCATAGAGAAACATCAAACATCTACTCCATAATAATGTAGGCATTTGCTTTTAAACTTATTTGGGCGTCCAAGATTTTTTTGACTAGTAAAGCAAGCCGTTTGAGTAGGTCTGTGTACAATTGGCCCATAACATCAAGTTTACCGCTAAAATAGGCCCAAACATGTCGTTTGCAGTATGTTTCTCTCCTTCTCCCCCAGTGTTTGAGCTTCTTTGCCTCCGACTAACGCCGGCGCCGCAAAATTCCTTCCGATTGGAATTATAGAAAATCTAATAGAAGGTAAACGCAGCAGATAAGATGAAGCTGGACGTGAACGCACTGAGATACTTAACGAAGGATGATTTCCGGGTTCTCACCGCAGTCGAGATGGGGATGCGAAACGTATGTCATAAACCTTCTCTTCTCACCTTCGTTCATTTGCGCTTCATATCTTCTTATCAGTGATGGATTCCCGATCTACGGGGAGTTCGATTGCTTAATCTGCCGCCGATGATTTTATTTTTTTTCTTACTTGTAGCACGAGATTGTTCCTTCGGAGCTGATCGATCGCATTGCGTCCCTAAAGTACACGATCTCTACCTTCACTACCTTTTCCGGTTTTGTTTATCATTTGTGTGGTTTATAGTTAATTCAGGCACAAGTACTGGAATTGCTTCTCAGAGTTCTAGATTGTAGTTTGTAGGCAGTCCATATTATATGGTTTGATTATATGTGTTATGTTTTGCTTGTTAGGCATGGAGGAACTTATAAGGTGCTGAAGAATTTGCTTAAGCACAAGTTGTTACACCATGACTCTTCCAAATGTGAGTTCCAGCTTTCCTCGTTGAGGAAACTGTTTTTGTTAATAGCTGCAGAGTTCCTTGAAGAAGAAATAATTCTACTTTGGCCATTCCTTTTGACACAGATGATGGATTTCGACTTACCTACCTTGGTTATGATTTTCTTGCTATAAAGACTTTGGTTAACCGTGGAGTTTTTACCTCTGTGGGTCGCCAAATTGGTGTTGGGAAAGAGTCAGGTATCTCTTCACTCTTCTTGGGTTGGGCATATGTTGTTAGTTAATTGAGGAAGCTATTTCTAAAGTAGCCTTGTTTGTTTAGTCTGTTCATATAAATTTATTTTAAGTTCCCTAGATAGTTCTTTATAACATGGGAGTTTCCCAATAATGTCCTCTATTTCAAAATATTCTCTTCTTAGTTCTCTATATTTGAATCCATTCCAAAGTCAAACCCCTTGAGCAAAAATATGGAGAAAAAAATTCTCTTCATGGTCCTTTCTATTTGTAGGAACTTTTTCTCAAAAGGGCGGACTATGGAATGATTTCAACTATAGAGGACCACAAACAAAACATTTTAGAATAGAAGACTATATTGGGAAATGCCTGTGTTATAAAGGACTATTCAGGGAATTTACTCATAAATTTATTGTGTTCCTATGTTAAGATATATTTGAGGTGGCAACGGAGGATGGTACTGTTCTTGCAATGAAACTGCACAGGCTTGGTAGGGTTTCATTTAGGGCAGTCAAGTCCAAGCGTGATTATTTGCGGCATCGTAGAAGTTATAATTGGCTCTACTTATCACGGCTTGCTGCTCTAAAGGAATTTGCTTTTATGAAGGCCAGTTCCTTCCCTTTTCCATTGTATTTGCTCTGTTAAACCTTATCTACTTTTTGACGTTTTCTAATTTGGTTTGAGCAGGCTTTGGAAGAACATGGTTTTCCGGTTCCAAATGCTGTTGATTGCAACAGGCATTGTGTGATTATGTCTCTGGTACAAGGATATCCTCTGTAAGTCTACAGCCCGAAGTTAACACTATAGAGCTTGAAGAAAAGCTAACCATTAATGATTTTATATATGATATTTTTCAATTAGTACATAAAAATTGAATATCAATGTTGATTCTCTAGGTTGTTGTGTGACATTGAATCAATTTCATGGAAGTCGATTTTTATCATTGACATGCACACGAACACACTCATGTAGACCATGCTTATATTTTCATTCAACAACTTGGTCAAGCTTGTTTCACTTGATGTGTGTGTGTGTGTCTGAATGATCATTACACAAGATACATGTTTTGATTGGTTGTAAATTGATTTTTAAGCTACATCATTGGCATGCACTTAATTACTGGCAGTCTGGCACATATAAGTTTTGGCTAATGTCTAAAAATTATCATTGTAAGTTTGATGCTTCTATTAATGGGATATTTGGAACCCTTACCTCTGAATTGGAGATCAATTATATGTACTGCACATGCACTTAAAATTCTGCAAAAACTACTCTTTGTAACCCTTGAGGTGGTTTTACCTGGTCTTCTCGCTCTTGTTTTGATTAGTTAAGTTGTTTATGTAATATTTACTACAGTGTGCAGGTCAAGCAATTGCAAAACCCACACACAGTTTTTGAAACCATCATTGGTCTTATTGTTCGTTTGGCTGAACACGGGCTTATTCATTGTGATTTCAACGAGTTCAACATAATGGTATGACTAAAAGATGCTTGTGACTTTGACCTTTTATTTCTAATTTGTAGAATTTAGACCTAGTTAGCTTTAGTTTTAAAATGTTGCAGAGTATTTGGAAGTATAGTCTATTAATAGATAACTACTGTCTCGGCTTGCAACAAATGATTTTTTGATTTGTGTGGATTTTCTCAGTTTTATTTTGTCTGCTGAAATTATAGATTGATGATGATGAGAAGGTGACAGTGATTGATTTCCCACAAATGGTTTCAGTCTCTCACCGTAATGCACAAATGTAGGATTTCCTTGTGTCTTTATTTACTATCTATGCTTTCTTTGTATACAAAATTTCTTATGTTCATGCCAACTTTCAGGTATTTTGACCGTGATGTTGAATGCATATTTAAGTTTTTTGGAAGAAGGTAACATCATCTTATTAGAAATTCAGAATTAATAATTCAAATGTAATCACTGACTCTAAAGGAAAATTCAGAAAATTAAAAGAAATCACATTCGAATTTCCCTGTGTTCCAATGTTGAAATGTCTGCTGTGTCAATGGTTGTTTCTTTTATATGCCCTGTTATTATATTCCCCATCATCTTTTCTCTGTGGTGAACTGGTGATAGGTTCAACATGTCCTCTCAAGAAAATTCTGGTGATTCTGATGATTCAGAAGCAGAAATAGAAGATGAAACACGGCCTCAATTCTCTAACATAGAGAAGAATTCTGGTTGTTTGGACAAGGAACTTGCTGCTAGTGGTTTTACTAGGAAGGATCAAGATGAAATTGAGAAGGTATGAACAAACTTTGAGTTTTTTTAAATGCACCTGGCGTTGCAAATTGACTGAACATTCAACCAGCTCTGAATGCTTAACCTTTTCACTTTTCAAGAATAAAAAAGGGAAAGGATATCTCGTGTTATGTGGCCTTTGAATGGATAACCGGCACCATCTTCCTTACTAAAAGCAGTAGGGAAAAGAATAAAATGCTACGAGAAAATGGTTTTAATGTTTGTTTTTCCATAGAAAATAGGAAGGAAAAGAAGGAAATTTGTATAGTTCTAGGCATATACTCCCTTGTGTTACTGTGTTTACTTTATGACAAGGTTCGGGCTGGTGCTAAAAGATGTGGACAGTGGCAATGTGGCATTATGTAACCCCATAGTACGTATTTCCGGCTCATTTATTTGTGCCACTATGCAGTTTATTGAAGTAGAAGATGTGGAGACTCCTGCTTCAGATGATGAAGGAAATGAAGAACTGACCGAAACACCAACAACGGACTTTGATTCTTTGCAACTGGACGAGAAAGTAAAATTATATTTTTCTTTTTGGTGGTTATTGTTGAACACTTGCTGTATGTACATTCTTGTAGTTGTGATAAAGCAACCGTGAATTGTTTTTACGAGGTATTTTTTTTTAACTCAGGAAGAAGAAGAGGGTGAAAACAAAGAGGACATAAGTGAGGCGAAGACTGAAGGACATGTTGAGAGTGAAGATGGTGGGGTAGATGAAGAGGGACAGAATGCTGAGGGGGACGAAGAGATGATGAAGCGGCTGAATAAGCAACGTAGGCGGGCCATACAAGCGGCCCATGGTGGAAGAAAAAACTATACTTCCAGGAATAGATGCAAAGACAAAGGTGGCCGTTCATCCAACAGCTCGAAGGTCCAGAAGAATTTCAGTAATTGGTAAGCGATTGATCGACAAAGAAACCCAACCAACCAAAAGCCACCAGCAAAAGCATACATATGTAAGTTATGGTATTTTTAATGCTTTTGGATTCATGGTTTTGTATTGTGTAACAGTTTTAACTATATTTTTTATTGAACTGAATTTGAAAAACACTTCCCAGAGATTGTCAGTCTTGATAATCACCCGCTTCCACCCTTATGACTTAATCCAACTAAAAGCTTCTTTTATCGCTACTGCTTCCGCCTCCCTTGAACCATTAACTTCCTCGTACTGAAGTGTTTTTGGCAGCCATGAATGCACCTGTATCATCTTGAGCTAAGAAGCTCATGCCCACCAATCCATCGACTAACCTTCACAAACTCTGCTTCCACCCTTTTGACTTAATCCAACTAAGAGCTTCTTTTATCGCTATTGCTTCTGTCTCCCTCTGGCCATAACTTCCTCGTATTGAGGTGTTTTTGGTAGCCCTGAATGCACCTGTATAATCTCAAACTAAGAAGCTCAAGCCCATCGCTCCATTGACCAGGCAAGTTTAAGCATCTAAATTTAGGCCATGTTCTCTTCACCACCTGATGTGATTGGAATAAATTCTGATCTAGTCTGATTTGATCTCAATGTAATTATATTTCAAGCTAATTTATGATATGGTCTAATCTGATTTGATTCCAATAACAATAAGTAACAAATAAAAAAATAAGTTGCGGAGATCCTTTAATTTGTTATTAGAGATAACTTGTCTTCACTAAGGCCCTGTACATAAGTTGGAATTGTAGAGTTGGATGTTGAAAGGAGGTGAAAGAAGCTAGAAAGAGTTTGAAAAAATATTAAAAGAATTTAAGTGTTAAAAAGTCACTCAATAAATGATCACCCAAATACGTAAGAAAACTTTATTTTTGGACTAAAAAAATTTATAATTGTTTGTGTTTGAGGTGGTATGTTATAAATTTAGATATATAATGTTAGGGTGTATAATGTTATTGTATATTCATTGAATCATTGTATATAAATACTTTTTAAATTTGTTGTTGGAAGAAACTGGAAGGAGTTGAAAAATGTTAGAAGAATTTAAGTGTCAAAAAGTCACTCAATAAATGACCCCCCCCCCAAACAAATATGTAAGCTAAAATTCTATTTTTGGATAAAAAAGAGTTCATCATTGTCTGTGTTTGAGATGACTCTGTTCTTTTGGATTGGAATTTCAGAATTGAATGTTGGAAAGAGTTAGAAGAAACTTGAAGAAGTTGAAAAATGTTGAAAGAATTTAAGTGTTAAAAAATTATTGAATTAAATGATCACACAAATAAATGTATAAAAATTCTAATTTTGAATAAAAAAAGTCATCGTTGTTTGTAATTTGAGGTGGTATGTTATAAATTTGGATATATAATATTATTGTATATTCATTATATATAAATATATTTTTAAGTTGTTGAAAGAAAATGGTAAGAATTGAAAGAAACTAGAAAGAGTTAGAAAAAACTAAAAGGAATTGAAAAAAGTTGGAAGATAATTTTTCCAATCCAAAAGAACAGAGTCTATGTTTTACTCCATTCGTCCCAATTTATATTGCATGTTTTGGTTTACGATGTTTAACCAAAATTATTTTCAAATCATTTTATATGAAAAATGATGTAGAATTTAAAAATAAAAATTACATACTCCCTCCGTCCATTTTTAATCTTCATACTTTCCTTTTTTGTCCGTCCACAAATAAAGTTTCTGTTTCCTTTTTTGGAAACTTTTTATATGAAAAAGACATAATTACCCCTACCCATCCACCCTCTTTCTTTTCTTTTTGTTCTTCCTCTCGCCGTTCCTCACCCACTCATCTTCTTTTCTTTCTTTCTTTTTGTCTCTCTTCTTCTTTCATTTCTTTTCTCCCCCGTTCTTTTCCTTTATTCTTCTTCTTCTTCTTTCTTCTTCTTCTTTCTTCTTCTTCTTCTTCTTCTTAGCTTCTTTCATTCTGTTTCTCTCCCTTTTTTCATTTTTTTTCTCTATTTTTCTTCTATTTTCTTCTTCTTCTGACGTTCCAATACTACATCAAAATATCTACAAAACTAGTGGTGGCATGATTATTTTATTTTAACAAAATGACTACGGAAAAAGAAAAAAAAAGTAAATGAAATTTGATCGTGTAAATAACAATCAATTTAATTTGGGACGGAAGGAGTATAAGTTTGGATATGTAATGTTATCGTATATTCATCATATATAAATACTTTTTAAGTCATTGTTGGAAGAAACTAGGAGTTGAAAAATGTTAAAAAATATAAGTGTTAAGAAGTCACTTAATAAATTATTACCCAAATATATATGTAAGAAAATTTTATTTATGGATAAAAAAGATTTTATCATTGTCTGCGTTTGAATTGGTATGTTATAAATTTTGGTATATATTATTATTGTATATTCATTATATATAAATACTTTTTTTAAATCGTTGTTGAAAAAATCTTGGAATTTAATTTTTTTTCCAATAAAAAAAACATGCCTAAATCTTGTTTAACTCATTGCCCTTAACACCAAATGAATCTGAATAAAAAACATAGTATCTCTGTCTCACAAAAAGGTTTCACATTTCTTTTTTCATCTGGTCTGAAAAAAGGTTCCACTTTTCATTTTCAGAGATAATTTTGTGGCCCCTATAAATCATTTTTTCTCTGTATCACTTTCAATTACACAATTTTACTTTTCTTAATCTCTATGTCAAGTCAACGATATAATCTTTATATGTGATGGAGCTGAGTAGTTCAGTTTAGTTAATGCACATCATGAGAGTTATTTTTTATAAAAAGAAACAGATATTTTGTTTTAAAAAAAGATGAGCCTCATCCCCGAAGACCTCCTCAGGCTCGACCGGACGGTTACTGAGAGGAGATAAATTGGACTTTGACCGTAGATTGGTGGCAAAGAGTGAAGTCTGCACATGGTACTTGTAGGGATCATATGCTTAGCATAATTGACTCTCAACGCAGTTGTTAGGAGTCGAACTCAGATCTTAACCCTTGATACTCTTTGCCTTTGCCAACTCGGCAACGCCCACCGGAAAAGAGAATACTTTTATTCAAATAAAAGGTGGATTGTCGGCGTCGGCCATGGACCACGTTTCTACCAAGAGACCCCATTCATATTTTCTATTATCGATAATTCCAACGACAAAAAGCACTCTAATATTTTTCCCAGCTGATTCATTCTCTTTTTATATATAAATTAAATTTTTGAACATCCATCGAATTAATCCTAAGCCTATTCTAAGACGCATAATTTTGCCATTGCAATCAGACGATAAAAGATGCCAAGTTGAAAACAAAATGATGACCATTGTAGAAAATAATTAGACAATGTGAGTTAGTGCAAAATAGCGAATACAAATCTCATAAATACGTATTATTTGTGAGAATGGTAGACATTGAATCCAGAGTACCAATGTAGTCCTTACAACAAATTAAATTAGAGTCCTCGAATAATCTTAGATAAATAGGAAGATAAAATTCTTGCTAGCGGATTCGGTCGGTCACTCAAGAGTAATTTTTATATTATTCCATGCTTCAAAATTTCTCTATTCTTATGATCATGTTTAATTATCTTCTTTTATAATATATGACGAATGGCTAAAATTTTGGTGCTTTGAAACATTGAGAGTATTATGATAGCGAACTGTTACAAAGCACCAAATTATACTCCCTTCTTCTCAAAAATTATGGAAAAGGGAGGAATCTAAAAGAAGATAGTTTTGGTGCTTTGAAACATTTTTTGTTGAAAAAAAATTATATACTTCGGACTGCACGCCCCCATCTAAATTGGGATAACCCCATCTAAAATTATGTACTTCCAACAAAATCAATAGAATCTTATGTAATTAAGCTAGTTTTTAGTTTTTTTGTTCAATTATATTGAGTGTATTTTATTAAATATATTTTTTTGTTATAATAAGATTTTATATTACATACGGAGTATTAATTAAACAATATTTTACATTTAATAGATGTTTAAAATAGAATTAATTACTTCTTGTTATTACATACGGAGTATTAAACAATATTTTACATTCAATAAATGTTTAAAATAGAATTAATTATTTTTTTTGTTATTTTATATCGTCTATTTAAAAAAATTCAGGGGGCGCTACCTCGAAATCCCCAATCAATTATGTCCACATCTACCCAAATTTTTAGATCCGCCACTACCGTTACACTGTTTTGTTGGGCCCAAAAGTAACGCATACTTCCTAAATCTCCAAACCCACTTCCTACCTCCAATGTTAGCCTATTTGGATGCGTGTATAATATGCTTATTTGTACGTTCGCGTATAATATGGATCATATTTTTAAAATGTCTTATTATATGTTTTATACGTTCGTGTATTATACGTTTGATTTTTCAAAAAAATAAATCATAATGACAAGATATATATTTAATAAAAATTATCATTTGAACTATGAAATTGAATTCAAATACACCATAAATATTTCCAAAATTCAACCAACACTACCATCTATTGTATATTCATTTTTTGTATGTATATCTGAAAGAGATCTTTTAATCTAAGTATTCTTGTGTACTTCCACAAAATGTAATCAAAGTAAGAATAAGTTTTTAAAAATGAAGCTAATACTGGCAAATTATAAGGTACATCTAGCTCTACCTTCTTTTAGGTACAGCCTGGTATTTTTATAATTTTTACAAACTTTTTATCCAATGCCCAAAACATATATTAGAATTATTATATAAGACAAAGAGTACCAGCAAATTTGAAAAAGACTACCAGCACTTATTAGAATTATCATATTATTATTCAATACAAACATTAATAAACCTGGGTTTTAAATTCTTCATGCTCAGAGAGTATAAATGAATAGGAACAAATCGAATAGAGGAAGAAGTTTATGATGGTACTGAACTTTTTAATTATGAAAAAAATTGAACAATACTTTATTTCAGAATTAACATTTCCTTATTTGAGAATGAGTATTACATTTTTTAAAAATGAACACTATGCTATTTATTATAATTATATTAGACAAATGTATAAAAATGAGTACTTTATTTTAAAATAAGTACTTTTGCCAGAATTAGTACTACGTATTTCGAAATGAATGTTTATATTTGTACGAGAATGATACCTACTTTATTTCAGAATTAATACTACCAAGAAGTACCTATTTCTAGGTACATCCGGATGTACCATATACCAATTCCCTAATACTAAGAGCATCTCCAATGTATAGTGTAAAAATTGGTAGTGTAAATTACATTTTACACTATCAACATTATTTTACACTTCCACTTTTTAATACCTACTCCAACCATGTTTTGTATAATATACTCCATACTTTACGTTTATTCAGGTCCCTATCTACAACCAACTTGTATATATACATTTTGCCAATTGTAGTTTACCCTATATTGTATTTTAACATTTGTTTTACCCTCTCCCTTGGAGTGTCAAAAAGTTAAACACAAAGTGCAAATTGTGTAAATTTTAGCGTCCCAAAAATTCCACTCTTCTTTCTTGTCTCACAAACTCCTTCCCTATTTATTAAAAAAGCACTTTTACTCCTATCAATTCTCACCCTACTTACCAGATTATATCTTTTTTTAATAATCTCCTCATTTTATCTTACTTTACACATCACCTCAAAAGTATTTTGAAAAAAACAACACAAAAAATCTCATACTTAAATTTCCTAAGTAAAAAATAGAAACATCTTTACAAAACAGAGGATGAAACATAGAACAATTTGACTCTTAAAATGAAATCATCTTTACAAAGGTCCAAGTCTCTTTGTTATATACTCCCTCCGTCCCCATGTATTTGTCCATATTTGACTTTTAAAACTGTTCATCTAAGCATTTTGACTCATCAAATTCTCTCAATGTATAAACCTAAATATAGTCATGTGTGATCTTATTTGATTTGTCTTAACATATAAATTATTAATATATAATTTTTATAATTTTTTAATATATTTAATATACAAATTACAAGATAAAATGGATTTAAAAAGTGTATTGAATGATGTGTAAAAATGAAAGTGGACAAATACAGAGGGACAGAGGGAATACTCCGTAAATATGAACTCACTAAACCTTTTACAAAATTTAAATTTAGCAAAGTGAAATCATCTTTATATTTTTATTTGTAATGAAAATTTTAGCTATGAACTTAGATTTTTTAGAATCCATATCACAAATAAAATCAAATTTTATTCTTAAATGTGGATAAATAACCAACGAGAAGAACTACATACAAAAAATTATTTACATTTTAAAAATCTAAACCAATAGAGAAAATGTTGTTTGTTTACTAACAAATGGAGCACTTCGTGTTAGATTTCCAACCAGATAATGTCAAAAAGACCGATAAATTATGGATGATATTTAATTAAGAAAGAATGTTAACGGATGACTCAAATTACAATTCAACTTCTAATGCATTTACGGTTGTTGAGTCGTCAAACTTTAAAGATTTATATTTTAGAGAGAAAAACAATCAAATTGATCTGATACAAAATTTGACCTAAATTTTGTTTGATGGAGTTAAAAAATGAAGATTTTTACGATTTATTACATATAAAATTCACAAATACCTCTGGAAATAAAAATTTATGCATTATACATTTGGCAATGAAAAATTCATATTCGAGATTATAATATGTGTATCATACCTGTATTATATGTGAATAAACTAACACAGCTACCCTCCCTTAATTGTTGCTTTGGCACATGGGAAGGCGAGGGTGGGAGGCTGAGAGGATTTTAGAGTATTTGGGGGTGGGGGGATTATGGGAAGTAGGTATTTTTGGGTCCGAAAGAGCACAAGTGACCGGAATGGACAAATGTTATATTATGAACTCCATGCTTGATGTCAAAAGAACCACCCCAAACTTAGGCAAACATCATTTTATATTGAAAATCAAAACATCCAATTTAAAACGGGACGGAGGGAGTAAAAATTTAGAGAGAAAAAAAGAACACCTTATTTCTTTACCTAGATGGAATAGGAACTCTTTGAGACACCTGAAAAAGGAAAGCAAAAGAGTTCAAAAAGAACAGAGCTGAGTATTAAAATTATGTTTTCCAAACTGCCAACACATAAACCAATTCAAAGATCCACGTCAATTTCATCAGCAAACAAAATGGGAGTTCATCCATGACGAAAACAAAGCAAAAAAAACTCTCAAGCTCAAGACAAGAAAAATAACCACCGACTGGGAGCAGTTTAAGCAGATTGCATGCTCCAACATGCCAGAGTAGAGAGCTCCTGTTAAAAGAGCAGGTAAGTTGACATTAGGCAGTGGTTAGCACAAGGCAGCAGAGACAAATGTACAATTGTATTAAAGGCGAAGAATTGAATGGATAGAGTGTGGCCTTACATATCTTGTTAAACGCCACAATGTCACAGCTCTGAACGTGTTCATTGATTGGTTCAACTGTGAGATAATTCTCGACAAGATCATCAACAGACACAAGGTCATCCACAATGGTGAGCATGATTTGCAATTTCTTGATGCCATATCCAACTGCAACAAGCTTGGCTGTGAAAAAAGCAAAACAAATTAGTCTGTCCAAAGATGCACAAGTCTATTCTAAAATTGAAATCTATATTTTGCAGGTCGAGCACTCAAGCTTAATCACACTAGATAATGAGCAAAATGATTCTGGCCCTGAATGAATTTAAAATATATAAATCAAGGTTGTTAAGGTGCCAAGGCGAGGCTAGACGCCAACATACCTGCATATCGCCTAGGCGACTTGGCGGACACCTAGGCAACAAATGAGAAACCTAGACACACGGATAATATAACCACAAATAGATATCCGGTACAACATTTGTAATAAAAACTACACATAATCTAAGACAAACAATTAAGTGTTCACAGGCATTTAGAAAACCACAAATAACAGAATTCAAATAAAAGCTCATCTCCAACCTACTAGGTTAATCACCCATACATGCAAGTCTAAAAATTATGCTTGAACATGTCATTCATGTAGATATCAATATCTATATCAATAGACTCATCATGGTCACAAGTAGAAATTTAAAAAACTTCCGAGGACTGGACGCCTAGGTCTGGGGTACTCTATGCCCTAAGTACATACATACATACATATAGGGCTGTTCACCGGTCCAAAACTGGACCCAACCGGACCTAACCAAAACTCGAAATGGAACAAAATACAGACCGAAGACATTCAGTTTTTGACCGGATCAACCCAAAATATATTGGACCGAATCAGTCTAGACCGAAGTGGAAGAACAAATCAGACTCCAAACCATCTTCATGTTTTTTTCTTTTTGGAGCAGATTCATAAGCACGATTCAATTACAAGAGTAAAATAATAACATCAACAATTTTAAACACCAAGAACTTAAAAAACCAGAGAATGACCACTTTAAAAGAAATGGATTGGCGACTAACTTAAAGGTTCAACAACCATGGCGGCACATTAGTCTAATGAGAGGTTGGAAATCAAGTCTTCTACTGGTGTTGGTGATGAAGTAGATCGGCGAACAACAAATAGGAAATCAGCGCTCAAAACCCAAAGATAATGGGTCGACAAACTCAAAGGAACCGAGTGCAGACGTAGCACCATCGGAGCACGGACGATGAGGCTGTGTTGGCGATGAAGTGATGGTGAGAGCATGAATTGCTAGGTTGGGAAGTTAGATTGCAAATTTGTGCTGAGCTGTAGGAGAAATTGATTAGAGATTTTGATGACATTGAATGATGTTTGTGACGACAAGAAAGAGAGAACCTACAAAGAATAAGGCGTAGAGGTGGACTAGGGTAAAATGCTAAGAAGTATCTATGTAATTGGTCCTTTCGGTCTGGATCGAACATACATACATACATACATACATACATACATACATACATACATACATACATACATACATACATACATACATACATACATACATACATACATACATACATACATACATACATACAT